AGCGATGACTGGGTTCTGAACGCTTTCCTGCAGAAAGAGCATTTATGCTGATAGAGTCTCTCTTCAATGTGGGATTCCTGATGATGAGCAAGAGTGTATCTGTGCGCAAAAGCTTTCCCACAGACATTGCATTTATAGGGCTTACCTTTTATGTGGATTTGCTGGTGCCGATAGAGGACGCTTTTTGCTTTGAACACTTTCCCACAATAGGAGCATTTGTGCTGATGGAGCGGCCCTTTGACTTGAGTCTTCTGGATCTCAGTGAGGGACCTTTTACAGGCCAACCCCTTCCCCTGGCTACAGCTTTTGTTGGATCTGCATTCTGGGTGGATTTGCTGATGCCGCCTGAGGTTATAATGAGTTGTGTAGGCTCTCTTGCAGCTAGAGCATTCATAGCCCCTCTCCTTCAGAGAGGTCTCCAGCTGGCCAGCAGGCAGTTCTCCTTCCCCAAAGACCTCATGATGGGTGATGTTTCCTGATGGTTCACTTGCATGCATTCGCTGATGGTTAGCAAAGCATCGGGTGTCTCTGAAGATCTTCCCACAATCAGGGCAGGGATGGAGATTTTCTTGTACTTCGGTCTTCGGCTGCAGGGCCAGCTCTGAGTTGGTACAGATGGGCTTTCCACAGTCAAAGCACGTCTCGCACTTAAAATTCATGTGGACGACCTGATTTCCAGCCATTTCTTCTTTGAAGGCATTCCCTTCAACTACCTGTTTATACTGTTGCTCTTGCATGTGCATCCTTCTATGGTTAGCAAAGCATTTCTCATTCCTGAACCCTCTTCCACAATCAGGGCACATATAGACATACCCTGTGTCGTCTCCTCTATCCATGGCATGAGACAGATTTGTTCCAAAGTGTGCTTCATGCTTTAGGTGTTCCAGAAGCTTCCCTGTTTCATCTGCTCCACAATGGGTGGAGGCTTTGTTCTCCCCATAGCTCTTGTGGCATTGTGGGCCCTGACAAGAAAGCTCCCCCACGTGCAGCCTCTGGTGTTTCATTAGGGACCATTTCTCCCGCTCATTCTCCCCGATGTCAGGACCCAAGTACCGATGGTCCTCCACGTGGTTCATGGACTGATGCATCACAAGTTCTTTCTCCTTCATGAAGCCTCTCCCACAATCAGGACATTTAAAGAGATGGGCTCCTGAATGTACGGCCATCAGGTGCCTCACCAGGTATCTCTCCTCTGTGTAGCTTTTCTCACAGTCAGGGCATGGATAGGTCATTTCACCGGTGTGCATTCTCTGATGATCACTGAAAAGGGTTCTTGTGGCCAAAATCTCGCCGCAGTCTGAGCATTCGTAGGGTTCCCCTTCCGAAGGAGATTTTGTGTTGTGCACTCTTCGGGTGTGGATAGTGAGCCTGGACCTCTCCAGGAAACTTTTGCCACAGATGGAGCATTTGTAAGGTCTCTCTCCGCTGTGGATTTTGAGATGCCGGTTGAGTGATGATTTCCTGCTGAAGCTCTTCCCGCATTCGCAGCATACGTGCTGGATTTCTCCCAACTCGTTTTTTTGCTGGCTGCTTCTGTTTCGAACAAAGTCTCTGTCATTTTGGTCAGCTTGCCAGATGCCACCCGGCAACGGGCCATGCCAGCTCTTCCCAGCTTCTTCTTTCCAGTGACTGGCATCACATTTACCCAAGAGAGCTGCACGGGGCTTGGCCACCCTGGGGCTTTCCCGCTGAACGTTTCTTTCTTCTTCTTTCTCGCTGGTTGAATCGTCATCTGCCAGGACAAGGAGAGAGAAGATCATTCTCTGACCTGGCTGGATAGCAGGCACTAAAGAACATTGCCTCACCATCCCTGAATGGAAGGGTTTCTGTGTTTGGAGCTTTCAGTTTTGTTTTGTTTTTAAAAGATGAGCAGGGAGTACATGACTGGACTTTGTAATGTTACCCAGGTTGTGACAGATCCCCATATTGTCTCTGATATGTTATGTCTCTGATATGTTATCAGAAACAATAGTGGGGATTATCCTGCATCCTGGTCTCCTATCCAGTGAGGAAGGAGAGTAATATGCTAACCTCTCAGCTGGCATTGGAAGATACTGGTTGAAAATGTTTCACACCTTCCCCTTCTTCAGGCTAGAAAGCAAGACGAAAGTAGTTGTTTCTGGTTATGCAGTAGGGCCCCCATATCTGTGGGAAGGATATTGGTGGTTTCATTCATCCACAGTTTGCTACAGCCCTATAATACAACACATGGGGAGGGGCTGTGGTCTTTGTTCTACTCCCTTGTTCACTCGTATCTGTAGCTTCAAGGCATCCAAGCTAGACTGTAGAACCAATTTCCCACCAATATGTGGGTCCTACTGCAGTTTTTTTTAAAAAAGATATACACATACAACGAAATTCACAATATGCGGGTCCTACTGCAGTTTAAAAAAAAAAAGTATATAGTTCTTTTTTGTGGCACAGTGGTTAAACAGCTGTACTGCAGCCAAAACTGTGCTCATGATCCGGGACTCAATCCCAGGTAGCTGGCTCAAGCATGACTCAGCCTTCTTCCAAGGTCAGTAAACTAAGTACCCAGCTCGCTTGGGGTGGGTAGGGGAACAACGTGTAGCCTCGACAATTAACTTGTGAATCGCCCAAAGAGCGCTTTAAGAGCTATCGGGCAGTTTATAAGCAGCACACTTTGCTTTTTCTTTCTTTCAATTATTTTTTTTAAATTTTTAAAAAAAATTTTTGCTTCAGTTCATATTACTTCTTACACTACAAATTTCTTGTATGAAAAGAGGTTTGGACTAGTTGCACATTTGAGATACCTTCCCACTCTACAGTTCTGCAATTCTATGATTACTTGTTGGTTTATTGTTACTTTTAAAAATAACAGTTCCGATAAGAACATGTCAGAAAGCATGAAAATCTCCTGTCAAAATGTCTGTAAAACACTTCAAAATTCTTTTTAAAATATCTTACCTTAAAAGTTACTTTAACTTCATTCCCACTCATACTAATTCATTAGAAAACATAACATTCTTGTATGCTCACTACCGAAAACAGAATAGCTCGCTGCAGGTAACTACAACTTACTGCTTCCGATTTCTGCCAGAATCTAATGATGTTCAGTGTGGTTAGGGGACATGGTCGTCATGTGGGCCATGGAAGCCTCCCCATCTCATATGGGTACCCCCCCCTTTGCTGTGGAGAAAGATTTGACTTTCTTCTGTCTCTCATAAAGCTTGAACTCAGTGTCATCCTGTGAAATACTAACCAGCAATAGACAATGGACAGGCAAACCAACAAAGAGACTCTATCACTATAGAAAGTGATGACTGCTGCAAATTTAAGAGTGTTTTAAATTCAATGAACAAATTCCTGGAGAAGGAGAGATCTATCGGTGGCTATTAGTCAGGACAGCAAATATGAACCCTCCAAATTCAGCGACAGAATGACACGGGGTACCAGTACCGGCTGCAAGGGTGGGTGCATTTACATAACATAAAGTGAACACCACATGACACAACACAGCAAGCCATGACCGGCCCATCTAGTCTAAGAACCACAGTTAAAACAATCTAGTAGGAGGACTTGACTTTTGTGTGAGCAATGCTGGCACGTCACTCCCTCTCACATACCTACCATAACTCCCCATATGAGCCTTCTCGACTCCTCTAAGATCTTCAGGGGAGGTCCTCCTCGTGGTCCACTGCCCTCTCAGGCATGTCTGGTGGGAATGCGAGAGAGGGCCTTCTCTGTGGCTGCTCCCAGGTTGTGGAATGCCCTCCTCTGGGAGGCTAGGTTGGTCCCCTCCTTCTTGTCCTTTTGGCAACAAGGAAAGACGTTTCCTTTTAAGCAGGCTTTTTAACTACATAGGACATTTAAGCTGGACTCGCCCTGAGATCTTGGATATTGGGGTCTTTTATGTGTGTTTTTAAAGTGTTTTTTGAAAAGTGTTTATCGAAGGATTATTTTTTTCCAAGTTTAACTGCTTTTTAAACAGAATAATGAATTGTGCCTTTAACTTTCCTTGTATTTTAAGTATTATGAGCTGCTTTTGAGTCCCTCTATAGGAGAAAGACGGCATAGAAATTATATAAATAAATAACATAAATACATAAACCTTGCAACCGTATATTGTAGCTCATGAGCAAATTGATACAGGGGTGTGTGTATGAATTTAAGTGTTGTAGAGAGTGTATGTACATCTAAATCCCAACAGTTGAGTACACAAGAATCATCAGAACCTTGAGAGACATTCAAACAAATTAAGACAGTTCTCTACTCCTACACAAATTTTTCCTACTCCCACAAGGGAAAGACTCTAACTGGAGGTCACTTGATAGACTTCAAAATGAAGTAGGAACATCAAAGAATAATAAGGAAGATCAAAGAATAATAAAGTAAAATAAGGTTACTTGGATACAGGACAAATTTTCTGTGACTGTGGAGAAATTCAATCAATGCAGCACTTATGTGTATGCAATTTATGACCCACCACATGGACGACTGTGGAGGAATTCAATCAATGCAGCACGTATGTGTGTGCAATTTATGACCCACCACATGGATCAAAGAAGGTCTAGTAAATGGCCGAGATAACACTATTGAAGTAGTCTGCTTCTGATAAAAAAAAATCTTAACATTTTGATTCATTTTTAATTTCACCTACATTTTATATAGATCCACAATTTTAAGCTGTGCAAAGGTATGATATGAATAAAGAAAAAGAAAGACTCCTGCACACTAGATGGCATGTAATTTACCAATTTAAAACAATCAGCATTATGTCAATTGATTATCCCTATGACTTATTATTGTTGGCATGGGTATATATTGGGTGTTTTAAAGTCATGTTTTAAACTTTTTTTGTTTTAGTTTGCATAAGAAGTCCTGAAGGAGTTCTCCCACCCACGCCCAGGAAAAAAAATCATCTACAAAATGTAAACAGCAACAAACTAATTCCAACATTATATTTGCACAGAGGAGACCTGCTGAAATTAATGGGACTTCGTATTAGTTGCAATTAACATTAAGTCCTGCTTTTTCAGGGGATCATCTCATCATCCAATTAAGATGGGATTTGACCAACAAAACATTACCTCCACCAAAACCAACATGCATCCAGAAGCCACCCCTAAATATAGGATGTTCTGGAGGCTGTGAGAAGATCCAGCATTTCAAAAGCAACTTTTACCTGAACTAGATGAATCGGAACTCGGCACGCTCACAGGACTCCGGTAGGAATTCCACCAGTTTCCTGTCTCTGTCCAGGTTTTTAGTCCTTGTTTATCTAGCCCTTCAGCAGTGGAAGGATCGCTGGAGTTCTGGAGATCCGGATCCCAGGCCTCTTGCCTTCTTTCCAGATGGGCAAGCAGTTCAGATGTTTGAAGAGGAGAAGCTGAAATGACAATGAGAGAGAAAGAGAGGGAGGGAGAGGGAGAGAGATGGAGGGAGGGAGAACAAGATGAGTTACAGAAACATTCTTCTTTTTCTGACAATGAGAAAAGAGGAGGAAAAAAAGAAAAGAAAAGCCATTTTCTTCTGTCCAGTGTTTACAAGCAGAAGAATGTCCTGCTTCCTATACCAGAGTGTATTTCTGGAGGTTAACCTTGTTGACCATTCCTGATGATATTAATGAAATATTCTACTGTTTGAGCATTTAATGAATTGGTTCTATTGATTTTTTTTCTATTCAAAAGGATTTTGAGATTTTTTTTAAAAAGAAAATGATAAGTAGTATACAATTTTTCTTACAACTTCTGCCTTTCTAGCATTCACATCTCAAGAAGGCTGTTGTATAGCCACTTGATGGCCTACCCAAATCAAGGTTGTATGTAAGCACAGGCCACTGACAGCCAAGAATCCCATGCAGGTGAGCAAATGGGCTTGCAGTGGAGGTACTGCTCCTCTTTTACATTACAAAAAAGAAGGGAAGCGTCTCCCTCTTCCATAACATTGCCTGGGAGGCATTAAAAAAAACAAAAACCGATTACATGAATGTCCTTAGGATCGCATTGTGCTTATATTACTTGTGCTTTTAATATTTCTCTTCTTTACAGTATTTTAATATATTTGCTTAATACTTTTTTAACATTGTAATAATTTATAATTTTATCTTTTAACTTTGTTTTATTTAATACTGCATGTCACCTTCAATTCTTTAGGAGAAAAGCAACATATAAATATGGTTTTTGTTGGTTTTTCGGGGTCTTAGGCCGTGTTCTGAAGTTTGTTCTTCCTAACGTTTCGCCAGTTTCTGTGGCCGGCATCTTCAGAGGACAGCAACCTGTGCTGTCCTCTGCACAGGTTGCTGTCCTCTGGCAACAGAGACTGGCGAAACGTTAGGAAAAACAACCTTCAGAACACGGCCAAAGAGCCCAAAAAACCCAGAACAACCATTAGATCCCGGCCGTGAAAGCCTTCGCGAATATATTCTTATTATTTCTTTAACTAGTAATAATCCTAATATCTATGTATACTTTAAGCTTAAGCTGTGGCCCAATATTTTTGTTTCTTATATTTCGTATTCCTTTCCCTTTTCTTTTCTTTTCTTTTCATGCTACCATTCTCCCCATAGAGAATGCCTTTGGATGGGCCAGTCAGAATGCAAGCATAATAATGAAAATAAATGTGCTGGATCAGACCAAAGGTCATGATCTTATCTCGCATAGTGTTCCCACAAGAGACATCCTCTGGAAGCCAGCAGAAAAAGAATGTCCTCCAGCCTACGGACCCCGATACCCATACTATAACTGTATTCTTATTTTACTATTACACTTCTTCACATTCCTCTTCTTCCAGAGGTTGGACATCATGATGGTTACGCTGTCTTTGCATGTAGCAACTCTAAACCATGATTCTGCATTGCATTCAAACTGGCTTTGCAGGTTGTTTAGCCAGCAAGTTTTTCTCCTTCCATCCCTTCTTTAATGTACCTTGAATGATCCGCTGTAACAATATGTACTTTCTTTTCTTATGACATGGTCAAAATATTCTAGCTTTCTGAATTTTATGTCCTATCTTTACACTTTTTTCACAGATCACCTTCCCCATCCAATAAATCCCTAGCATCCTCTGAAAAAAATCACATTTCAAAGGCTTCCATCTTTTTTCATAATGGCCTGGATTAAAGCCTACAATTACATGTCATGCAACAGAAATAAGAATACATAGCAGTGGACAATGCATTCTCAAATCCAGTATTAGTTTCTTTTGTGGCATTTTGGATTCATCATCTTATGGGGATGCTCCAAACTACCTCTGTTCTGATTCTTATGATGTGACTTGACTCCCACTGTCTACTGAATCAAATTCAAAGGGACTTATATTTGCCAACGTGCTACATACTTTCACTTAGCTCTGTAACTAGATTTCATTGGCTGCTTGCTTTTCACACTGCAACTACCATAGTCTCTAACCACTGATCATACTGGCTGGGG